TTCAGGCGTCGCCGTGCGATTCAGCTGAAGCCCGCAAGATGTCTCCGCAATGTTTCCCTTTTCTACATTCAAATATACCGTTTGTCGTGCAACCGTAATTAAATTTCCGTACAAAAAACAATAATTTTCTTTAAGCAACAAAAAAAAACACTGAATGATAATATAAATGAAATCGATATTGATGATCCCCGATATAATTGTTTACTCGACAAAGAAGGGAAGGGAGATGAGGAGGAGACGAGACACGAATGAATGTAAATGAAATCTGATGCCGGCTGAAAGCGACGAAGCAATCGCATCGAAATCAAACATCTCGCGACGGCCAAAAGATTGATTGTCTGTGTGCAAACCGCATTAACATTAAAAATCCATAATTAAAAGCATTTGATAGACGCGTACAAAACGAAAGCAAACATGGCTTGATGATGCGGTGCGCCGTTCAATGAAATTGGACCTAATTTCAATATTGATCAACACTCCTCCCCCCCCCCTCCAAACATCGTTAATGAATATTAGAAAAGCAAGTTTAGATTTAGACATTAAATAAACTATTAATCGAGATGTAAGAACATCATTTTTATCTTATCTTAATGCCTTTAGGCATTGAATTGAACAGGTGGTAAAAGGAACATTCATTTCTTGTATTGTGGGGGTTCGACCAGTCCATCCCCCCATCGGTCAAGAGGTTGACCGCACTTCCTTTTTTTTCTTTCTCTCCTTTATACTCTCACTCTTGTTTAGGGTACAACTACACGCATAGTTGATTTCCTTCCTTCCTATTTCTACCACTTGTGTTTCGGCTCATCTCCTCCATTCTCCACCCATCATTGAAACCCAGTTCTTTCCTCTCGTACGATGATGACGATGGCGCCCTCTCACCACTGGGTTCTTCCTCTATTAACCCGGGATGCATGTCGGGTCGGTGTCACAATTTGTCATCGGGTCGGGTGTGAGTTATGGGTCTAGCCGTAACGGCATTATCTGCCAAATTATGACACTTTACACGCACGCACATTGGCCACCGCCGAAGACGCCGCCACCACCACCATCGCCGACAACGAACGCAAAAAAAAAGTTTTTAGTGTTTTTCAAAAAACCAAAAAGAAAAAAAAAAGTCCGGGCGCCTCCGTCTTTCGAGCAGACTAATTTATGCTCGCCTCACTCGAAATCCATTTCTCCGCTACACGAATTTCCTATTTAATAACACGCATCTTTCTCGTTCTCTCTCTCTTGTTGCTTTCATCCCACATCCCGAGATGCAAGAAACGAAACGGCAATAAGAAAACAAGAAAAAGAAACAAACAAGACTCGAACGAGCATAATCTGGAAGCAATCCCACGGCGCAATCACATCCCGTGACTAAAGACTCGATATATTTTCTCGTTTCATTTTTTTTTTGTATGTGACGTTGTTGAATGTTTGTTATCAAAATATTACAACCAATTAAAAAACGTTTAAAAACGAAACGGGAAAAAAAAAATGAAAAGCTTATAAAGATGTGTCATAAATTGAATTAAATCAAAGCTGCTGTGAGAAATCCCGACTGCATCAAAATCCCGACTATATCGAAAATGTCTACAGCATTTTTATTATTATTAACAATAAATTATTATTAATTTATTAGATTTTCTTGAATTATTCATAATAGAGACCTTAACAATATGAAATAATCTCAAATACAATTAGATTATTAATTGTTGTATATTTGTTATTAATAACAATTTAAAAGTGATTTTGATATAGTTGGGATTTTAATACAGTCACATATAAATAATTATTGAAGATAGGAAAATGGCAATTAATTTGAAGATTTCTTGTTCAATTTAGTAAGTTTCAATCGATTGAGACAAACTATTATCATTTGATGCAATGCAATTCAAGTGGAGGTGTTTCAAAAGCAATACACGCATTCAAGTATTTAGCACGTAATTAAAGAAGTATACAGTATAGAGAGAGATTAGAGTGTAAACACAACAGGCGAAAATTGTGGAAACATTTATGAATACTCGTGTGTCGCGCACTCTTGTTTACGTCGATAAATATCTTTTCGACTCAATTATGAACCCTGTCCGCCTCCTCCATCGTCTTTTTATTTCTCTTTACCGTCGAAGTTCAAGTATATATATATATTTTTTGGCCATTTTTATGGACGAGAAATCAGTCATCGCCGTGCACTTATAAAAAGCACGCCCATGGGAAAGCGGAAAAACACTGCCAACGAAAGCTCTTTCAAAAACAAACGCCAGCACTGTTAATGAGGTCGGTGCACGTCCTAATTGAAAGCACACAACAAATGAAAGATTAGAAATATATATATATAGTAAATATATATAAACTCTGTAATAATAATAATAATAAAAATTTGTAAAAGAAAATTAATTACACTTTCTCAAGTGTGCACCCAGTGGAATATACTCTAAAAAAAAAAACAAATAGTTATAATTTGGGTGTGAAAGCAATTGAAAAATGAAACTTTTATAAGTCGTTTCTTTTCTTAAATATCACCATGTAATATTTCCTCAAAGAAATTTGTATATTGAATATTGTATATTTCAAATTGAGTTAAATGATTTTAATTTAAATCAATAGGAAATGATAACATTCCAAAGTGATTCGGTGAAGAGGAGCGCACTTGAAATGCAGCGAAAACAAACGGCAGTGAAAGTAGTAGTAGTAGGCGAAATATATGGCTAAAGTAAAAATAAATAGGATTTGATTCACTACTTAAAAACTCGAGTATATAACAGAAGGAAGAGACTATAACTCATCTCACTAAATTAGATATAAATCCAAATTATTAGCGACATACAATGATGCTTAACTATATTCAAAAGTTACCACTAAATTACTAATTTATATATTTAAAAGTCGAATGGTTAAGTCGCCTTACCCACGATTTAGTGATGGACATTGAAATTAATATGAACCATCAGCCAAGTCGATGGACAATGACAGTGTTAAGAATACCAGCAGATTCACAGTCAAAGGAAATTGTAGAATCGCAAAGCATCAATATACTACTGAAGTTAACCTACAAGACGACTATCCACCGGGATTAACATTTCTTCAGAGGAAAATCGAATTAGTTGAATGTGCACATAATATAACATTCAGATTGTGTTTGGAGGAGGCTCTGTTGGGAAAATTGAATTGTGAATGAATGGATGAAATGTATACTACTTCGAAAGACGACTGGACTACTCAATGCTATTATAGTGTACATATTTTTCGGATGAAGAAATATTATTCTTCTTCATCTCAGATATGAATACTATGCCGATGTGTAATGTGTCAGATGGTCATCTGGTTTATGTACGACATTTCTGTGAGGAGAAAAACGAGAGAGGGCAGACGAATGGAAACGGACAGAGCAAAGAGTGGAGAAGCGAAGAAGAGGAGATCGCTGGCGCCACCCCAAAAAAAGACCGCTACCGCCGCCGCCGCTACACAAGAGAATTGTCCTATTCATACGTAACACTAGAATGTAACAACAATAATAATAACTAAAATAATGACTATATTGTAAAAGAAAGCCGATTCCTGTTCACTTCTTCATCTCTTTCACTTTCTTCTTCTCCTCTTCCTCTTCCTCGCACTCCTCCTCTCACTCCTTCCTCGCTGATGATATAAAACATATACACTTGGAAGACTGATAGCGCCTTCCCTAATAGCTAATAATTTTCGATAAGGGATAGGTTCTGTTGCTCTGGTCTTTGGATTCCGATGCTGGGAGGAACGCGTTTTTCCCACGGCCCCCGCAAAACATTATTCACGAGTTTATTTACGTTCCGATGCTCGAAAGACCATTCACCATTAAATCAATCAATAATCAACGCATCAACGACGCGACGAGCGTGCAACTCTCTAAAATACAAACAACCGTTATTGTGTGAAAATTCCCTTTTTGTAATAACAGAAAATGCTTATTGCTTATCACCATAACACGAAAACAAACCCCTCACGTGTGAACTTCGAACATCTAATATGTATATAGATGGAGATTTTGTTCTAAGACAGTCAAACCTAAAGAAAATATTTAGTTCAGATTTGTCATACGAGTTTAAACATTTTATAGTTTATCAAGAAATCAATTAGCACAAAAATATGGTCAATTGAAGACGATATAAAAAAAATCCTTTAACATACAATGACGTGATAAAAATAATAACTAGTATAGATTAAAATCTGTTAATATGCAGCAAATAAATTAGTCTTTAGTATTTCTTAAATTATTTACTAATGAAACAATTCAATGTTAAAGGAACTGCATGTAAATCGACGCCCTTTTTGTTCCTTACAAAACTTATATTTAATTCGTATATCAAAGGGTTAAGACAAGTCTGAAAGAATAATAATAAAAAATAAATTAGATTCTAATCATTATTATTCTTTTAAAATAAATAAATTAATTTAAAAGAACGAGTTAATTATTATAGCTAAATTAAACAATAAATTTGTTAATTTTAATAATAATCAAATTATACAAAATATGAAAGCAGATTATATTTTGAATACTCATCATTTTTTGCTAGTATTTTGTTTACTTTAATATTCTAATTTTATTTTCTTTCCTTTCACATGAATCTATATAAATTGCATTGCAAATAAAAAATGTATTTAGCAAATTTTTAAACTATAAAAAAAATTTCAATTTCTTTAATTCTGTGTGAAAAGTAAAGTCTGTTGTAATTGGTGGATTAGCATTCGGTAGGCGTTGCGAGTTTACGTTGCGGACGGACGGAGGATTTTGATCCTAAGCGACGGCAGTATTAAGGAGGAGGGAAAAGAAAGGAAGGCGCCGACCGCGCGTATGCATGTATGCATACGACCGATCATCGAGTTGGAGATGAGGAGCCATGAGGTGGTGGTACGAGAGGAAGAGGAGACACGGAGATCTGCCTGCCACAGTCGGTTATTAGTTCTGTGTTTGGTCAGACACATCATTATACTTCCGGTCGTGGATCGTTCAAGACTACTTAGTTACCAAAGAGACTCAATCGCTCGCTCACTCGCTCGCTCACTTGTTCACCAGTTCACAGACTAAACTGAAACCAAGTGGATTCAATGATGATCGATCAAAGCGGCTTCGAAATGGTGGATACAAACGGGACGACTACGACGACGACCTCATCCTCGTCGGAGGTTTACCCCACGTGCGACACAACCACCAGCCAGACGACACCGTTCTCTGTGAAGGACATCCTGCTAAACATCGGCGCCACGGAGGGCATTTACGATTTCAAGCAGGAACCTTCGTACGACTACCAGGAGCTCTACCAGCATCCCACCATCAACCAGGTATGGCCTGATCAAGGATGCTACACTGGAGGCGGAGGAGGTGGTGGTGGTGGTGGCTACGACTACTACGGGAATTACTATGGCAACCAGAAGACGGATGCTGACTTTAGGGGCGGCGGTGGATGCGACAGTGCGACCGTCGCTTTCAGCCAACCTCCCCACCATCTTCACAACCATCATCACCATCAACAACAACAACAACAAATGACAACAAACAACTTTTGTATCGGATATCCGGAAGTCACCAATAAGGATGACAACAGTGTCCCAGTTTATGCCAAAATAGACAGTCCAAGTATGTACACTATATACGCACTATAAAAATACTATTAGAAATAATGAACTAATAATTATATTGTCACGTTACAGACGGATATTTTTTTACACGATGTTTTTGTTTACGATTTGCAGGGCAACAGCTGGTGACGAGTTCGAGGACGGAATTGAGGAAGTCGTCATCGAAAAGACAAAGGGCCAAGAGGAAACCGAGGGTGCTGTTCACGCAGGCACAGGTTTACGAGCTCGAGTGTCGGTTCAAGTTACAAAAGTATCTGTCGGCGCCGGAACGGGAGCAAATGGCCAAAGGGCTCAAGCTGACCTCCACGCAGGTCAAAATCTGGTTCCAGAACAGACGATACAAGAGCAAACGCCAGAAGCTCGAAAGCGGCGGAGGAGGAACCACAACAGCAACCGCCGCCCCCAAGAAACCGGCACCACCGTCGCCAACGCAAACCATGTCCGTGTGCTACGTGGCGCCACCGCCAGCACCTACCGCAACCGCACCCCCGCAGTACACCCAGAACTGTTACCAGAGTTACCATCATCACCAAGGCAACGGTGGCTTCGAATATCACCAGGACAACGGCGTGCGCTACAGCGAGTTCAGTTTTTGATTAGTTCGCAATCAAAACTCACGCAAACACCAGCAACCCTCCCCCACACAAAGAGAAAGCTTTAAAAGAGACTTAATCGAAAGACGACTTCCAATTGGACAAAAGTTTTTTATACATACATATATATATAAATATTATTTTGTAAATTATTGTAAATATTAATCATTTTCTAATTATAATAAACTTCTAGTTTTTATTGGCTAGTTTTGTTCTTCGAAATCGAAATGTATTCTGGACCGAGAGAGCGAGTCTGGTCTGCCAGAGAGTATATATTTAGCGTACGTCTTAATCTACACGAAACATAAAACATCGGCCTGATCAGGAGAAGAATGAGTGTGTGTGTGAGTGAGTGAGAAAGAGAGGGTCCTGCTTTATGTTGGAGCGCTGATGGGCGAAAAAATTCAAGTAGTCAGCACCAGATCACCTTTTAACCTAAAAGCATTTTCGCTCCGGGTTCTGGCGCTTCCTTATCGATTCACATATAATGAAGAATGCCGACGCCGCCGTCCATCCGTCCGTCCGACCGCTCAGAATATATGAATATCTTCTATATATACAATCATCGCGCATCCGAAATAAACTTTCCCGTAGAAATCAAGAACAACTTGCATCTAATACATCGACACAATTTCCGGTTGATAATTACGCAATTCTTGTTAAGTGAAATATTTATTACTTTGAAATGTGTAACGAGTAAGTCTAAATTGTGCGTCTGCTACATCATTTTCAAAACTTTCAAGACAGCTTGAAAAAGTCTTCACATTTCATTGATATTTCTCGGAAACTATAATAGATAGAATGGATCTAAAAGTCCACCAATTTATACTTTTTTTTCGACAAGGAACGCATTATCGTATTTTACATTAGTGTAAATGGGGAAAATTGTTTCACAATAGGAGTAAAAATCCGAAAATTCTGGAACGGAATAAGTTATACGTGTCAAATACAGATTAAGACATAAAGTTGATATTTCACAATTCTTATATGAAAAAGAAAATTGTGATAATTATAATATTCCTGAATATAAAGAAATATGAATAATAATAATTATAAAAATAAGATGTAAGAAAATCCAACAGTAAGACAAATAGTGAAAAACTTTTTACAATAATTGTTTATAATTGAAATTATCTATATCTATCTTTTTTTGTATGATTGTTTTTATTAATAATAATAATATTTATTGAAATAGTAAAATTACAAAATAAAAATACAATAATATAAATATTATAAATAAAAAAGCCATAAGTCTTTCTACCCTGTTTTAATTTGTAATTATTGAATAAAGTATGTAATTAGAAATTCAATTTATAAAAACTATTTGAATGCATAACTTTTGAATACATTATTTTGCAACACCCTGTATATAGAATATTCTAAATCTATAAGATGCGACATCTATTGGCGAGCGACCAGTAGCATTGCGTCAGAGACATCTAACGTTCGTTCCTGAAACCTTCACGTTAATGCTACCTCCCACGTGACACGATACAACTAAAAAAAGAGAAGTCTGTACCGACCAGTATACTGTCGACGAGTGTGGGAAACGTTCAGTTTCGTAACCATGCAACAGATGTCGCAAGATGATGATGTTTCGCAATTGAAATGAATATTATATAAAAGCAAGCCGAGACTAATTGGCAATAATTAATATTTATACGAGATCGTAAAACGCCTTTTAATGCGCACGTAAATACGAATAGCATATTGGGCAATTAACGAAGCCAACGAAAAACTAAACGAATATTGGAGAAGAAAGCGAATGAGTAAAAATATAAAAATTAATTAATCTTAACGGTTCTTTATTGCTCTGCTCGCATCGTTTCCGTCGTTGTCGTCGTCGTCCACTCTCCTTATTACGATTACATTAACAAGCAAACAAACAAGAACATTACAGACAAAACGACTACGTCCACGGCGATTATGATGATGATCATTATTATTATTATTATTATGAAAGATCCAACCAATTAGTGGAAATATTTTCGTCGGATTAAATGGAATAATAAATAAAATACGTTTTTACGAGCGATTAATTAGGCAGGAATGGGATGGGATGGGTTCGGAGCAAACTGCTTCTGTTGCTACCGTTGAAGACTCGAGAGAACCTCGAAATTTCTTAATTAGTTTCGGGCTAATTTACGGATATGCTAATGTGCGTTGATTGATTTCGTGTTAGTTAATTAACTACCAAAACGAACGTGGAAACTCTCAGAACGAACCCAAAAATATATTACTACACACCAAGGTGTGTGCATGTATTAATATATGAGTTTGTGTGTGTATGTGATGTGTAATATTTTTGACGTGGAGGCGGCGCGATGAATAATTCATGCTGTCCCCCCTAAACTCGTGCGCTTAATTTAAAATTAATTTCATGCAAATCTATCGCAGCCAAATTGTAAGGAAAATGAAGTGAAAATGAACGACGCGCCGCAAAAATAACGAGTCAGAGAGAGAGAGAGAGAGAGACCAACAAAAAGAAAAGGGTCAAAGGAGGATGCGAAAGAGCGGGACGGACGAACACGGAGCGCGTGTGGCGGACATTAATTAACGACGGGATATTAATTCGCGCCGAGAGTTACAGCTGGAACGCTTCCAAATGTTAAAATAAAGCAAAATTTCAATCTTGAAACACAGAAAACGGTAGAGCACGGTAGGTAAGTAGTTACCAGTATTTGTCATGAGGCATTTGCCAGACTATCGACGTGATACCTTAAGTAAATCTAATCTCGATCCATTTAAAAATCAAAGATAGTTACTAAAATTGTTACTAATGGAATAAATAAATAAATTAATGCAGCAAAAGCCCTAAAGAATTCGCATCCAACAAACATATAAAGTGTCCTTATCAGGACTCACCGCTTTGCTCGCCCATCAAAATTAACTCGATACTCAAGTACGATTTAGTAATGCAACTATTGGAATGTAGAGTGATCTTGATGGGCGAGCGAACCGAGGAGTCCTGACGACGACGACTGAAGGATTCCACATACCTTTTTAGGACACGCTTCGCTCCCCCATCAAGATTTCTCTCTGTATTCCAATTGTAACATTACTAAATTGTATTTGAAAATTGAGGTAATGAATAGGATCGAAAGATTACATAAACCTCCGCTGAATAACTATTTAATTAAAATGTATTTAATTTCCTGCTTATATAACTGAATTTAATTTGAATAGATAACAATAAATTTAATGAAATAAGCAAATAAGATTCACATGAATTAGTTAGATACATGCCTATTCATAATTAAAAAATTAAATTCTATAAAATATTAAAATAATATACATTTAAAAAAAATCATTTAACGAATTACAACTGATTTTACCTAACAGATGTCGCCTAAAGTAAATCGATGCAACAAACATTCACCTGTACACATTGCGTTGTTGTTGTTGTTGCGGCACAACAAAAGCGGATTACGCAACGCGAACAACCACTCTGAGAGAAAACCGTTCCCCGTGACTTTCCCCACAATTAATCGCCACTTTTCCGCCATCAACAATCGAACCGTTTGCGCAATTTGCTCCTCTCCAAAGACGTACGATCGTTTAATTATTATTAAACAAGAATCGATTATTCGAAAGCAGTTGCATTCTGCATCGTTCCTCGCAAAAACGTGATTCCTTTCCGATCAATAATTGAAAGATAAAATGCACGGCATCGGAGGGATCAACAAAACAAAAAAAGAAGAGAAAAGAAAAGAAGACACCCCATTAGCGAGGATTGCAAAGGAGGACGCAAGAACGCACGCAATACTCGCCGCTGCCGTTGCCGTTGCTGTTACTGCTCTTCCTCCTCTCTATTAATTTATTTCTTTGATGTGCACGTCTCAAATGTTTCAATTTCCTTTAGGAGAGTCCGCGAATGGAAATTTTCGTTTATTTCGCTTTTCTTGCATATACATTACATATTTTTTGTATCTTTTTCCGGCTCGTTCGTCGCAAATCGATCGCCGCCGCCGCCGCCAATTGCCTGTATACCTCTCCTTTATTCGCGTTCTTCTCCGCCTCTCTTCACCTTCTCTTTCTCTCTCTCTCTCTCGCACATACACACATAAAGGCTTATTCTCTTTCTCTTTCCTTCTCTACTCCTTCAGGGTTTACACATTTTTTTGCCTGCTTTAAATTTCCCCAGCGGATCGCAATCCCCTCGATGGGAAAGAACAAACAACACAACAAGAACAAGCGGAGCGCTCGAAGAAGAGAAGCCTTTTCTCTCTTAATAGAGTCACTGCCAATTTGCATTCGCTTTTGGACGTATCGTCCAATTAACATAATTAATTGAAGTCCTCTGGAATTGAACAGCGAACGAGAGAAGAGTATGTGTGAGAGAGGGACAAAGAAAAGGTAAAGAGGGAATGAATGCAAAAGTGCGACCGTTTTTCACCATTCCCCAGGTCAGAATGTGATGATCTCTTCTCATAGGTAATAATAATAATAATCAATTAAAATTTTAAAAAAGAAAAGAAGCAACGACACACACGGTGGTGGTGTTGAGCTATCGACTATTGCCGGTTCGAAGTTGTTCTGCTTTTATTGGACAAATCGTTGCGCAAATCCGCGTGCACGCAAGAAACAAACGACAACAAACAACA